CCCAAGGACCTTATAATCCAGAGACAAATAAAACAAGTATTTTTCTAAAAGCAAAATATAACTCACGTAAGAAAATGTCAGAAAGACAAAATTAGTATGCTGTAGGACTCAAATTTTTTAAAACATTGTATTTGCTGGATGAGCTAAATATAGAAAAGTGAAGTAGTATATTCTGGAGAGAAGAAAATGCACTTAAAAAAAATTGTAGACATATAAAGTCCAGAAAACACTGGAAAGCAGCAAGCCAGGCAAGACAGTGGTTTGTCCCGAGCACCAAAGGGAGACAACAGATACTATTAAAAAGGTAGGCTGAGAACATGTTGTAATTTAGGTTGACACACTGATTTTATTTAATTCAAAAGGTAATGAAGAACTATTAGAGGGCTTGCACCATGAAATTATAGAATAGGAACCCAGACTGTGAGTATCATTAGAATAGTCTTTCTGCTTGGAATTTTTTACTTATTTTCAAAAATCAGATGTGTTCATTTGAAGGAATACAATCTTGACAGTGATTGAACTTAAATACTTTTATAATGATAAAAAAGGAAACTTCCAGAGTTTAATTACTGCCTCATAAAAATAAACTGGTTTCCTTTTTTTTTAACCCTAAAGAGTATTTCTAGTATTGGGATCTATAACAAGGAGAAAAAAAGAACCTGAGTAAACTGCACTATACTTGTCCTCTGCCACACAATTATTAATATGTCCTAATGTCCATAAAAATGAACATGTAAAGCCAGCATTTTTAAATACAGAAGTTATAAAGTAACATACATCTGAGAAGTATAAGTAAAAATGGAAAATTTTTGTTGTCAAAAAAGCATAGAATTAAAGGGGAATTGCAGTGCAATAAGAACCGAGTTTTTTGTTTTTTGTTTTGTTTTAGATCAGAGATCGAATTCAGGACCTTATGCTTGCAAGGCAGGTGGCAGCACCACTGAGCTAAATCCTCAGCCCAGAACCAAGTTTTTAGCAGTATTCTGTACATATCCATACACAGATGCTTGAAAAAAGATTACCACGGACACTTAACCAAGATGTTCTTTGTGATAGGGATGGACAGCTCTAAGTCTAGGGCATTAAAATATATTTATAAATGTAAAATGTGCTTGTTTCTAAAATGTATTCAGAGGGCCACTGCAGAAAAACCAATGGCTTTGGTGATTTGGATCTTTTCTGTAAGAATAAACATAATTAATTTCCATGGGAAAGTTATATTTCTGTGGGAAAACTAGATGTAGCCAGTTTTCCTCAAATTTTATTCTGATAGGGCATTGTCAGGACCACTAGGAAAGAGTCCCTAAAATGCTGGTGCCAAGAACTCCTCCAAACACAGGAAATCAGAACCTCTGAGTATAAGGTATAGTAGTATATACTAAAAGATTTCTAAAAGTATATACTAGAACTCTTCAATCTTTGGTCACCTTGAAGGATACCAAAACAAAACCTGGAAAATAATGGAAGGCAGACTTATTTTTTTCTTCCTTTTGAACTTTGAATGTTTTCTAGAATAAAATTTAAGCAAGTGTTTATATTTACACCCTCAAATTCAGATAGAGAATTTAGCAAATGATCAGAAAAATATTTGTAGATTTAAACTGAGCAGCATGGTCATGACAGGAATACTTTATAATAAATGATATACCTTTTTTTACATCCCTGTTTCCCGTGACTTCCTCAAAAGAAACTGAGTACTTGTTGTACCGTCTACAGCTTCTGCAGCAGAACCTGTGTTGTGTTCCTAATTCTTTATACTGATTTATACCTGCCAATACCTAGAACTTAATAAAGTGATGATGCACAGATCAAGTTTCACGTACCTTTCTCAGCTACACTGACTATGAGTGGTATCTGCTTCCTTTCTCTGAAGTACTACAGAATATGGCATTTGACATTTACCATTTGACTTTTACAGAAAAGTAAATCACAGATGAGTAGCTTGTACATATTTGTACCTATCAGGCTACAAAAACTTTTTTTTCATCTGTTAATGAAACGTCACACCTTTGGCACAGTTTTCAATGATTTGAGTTTGAAGCAGCTAGTTGGTGGCTCTGGTAGCTGATTAATAATAGTTTGCTTATAGAAAAAAAGTTTTATAAATGCAGTTATAATTTTTTTAACATTTTCATCCTATTGGAGTCTCCACATACAATAAAAATAATTTGTTTGTAATATATGTCTTGAATGTCTGTATTGAATATATATTTCCCTGCCCCTCTGGGGTTGGAGTTCAGGGGTAGAATGCTTGCCTAGCATGCACAAGGTCTTGGGGTTGGATCTCTAGTTCAATAAAATAAAAACAAAATTTAAAAATAAAACCTCAAATCTGAGGCACTCTTAAAAATATAAGGTGTCAGGCTGGGGATTTAGCTCAGTGGCACCATGCCTTCCCCACAAGCAAAGGTCCTGAGTTCCAAAAATCCTTGGTACAAAAAAATATAATGCTTGCCTAGCATGCACAAGGTCTTGGGGTTGGATCTCTAGTTCAATAAAATAAAAACAAAATTTAAAAATAAAACCTCAAATCTGAGGCACTCTTAAAAATATAAGGTGTCAGGCTGGGGATTTAGCTCAGTGGCACCATGCCTTCCCCACAAGCAAAGGTCCTGAGTTCCAAAAATCCTTGGTACAAAAAAATATATATTATTTTCAAGCATTTTCTTTGGTTCTTCTTGTGCCATGCAGAAACTGTTGTCAGATGAGGAACTGCCAAAAAGCTAAGTGATTTTATAAATGCCATAGGTCAGAGCATGAGCAATAAAGAAATGCTATCTAGAAGGCAAGCTAACTTTTGCTCCAACTATTATGTATCTGTCTTGCCAATCCTGTTGTTTGTACATAACTTTCTCACTAAAAACTATTTTAAATGGAGATTATATATATTAAGCAAAAGATATGAAATATCCCATGACAGTACAAATAGTATGATTCATTTAAAAATATTTTTTTAAAAATTGAAATGTTTAATATCCTGATGAATTATGCTCCCTTTAATGCTTTCTTTAAGACCACAAAACAAATCCCATGCTGGAGTCCAGAGTCTGAAAGGGTCATAAAATGACATGCATTACAAAAACATCACTTGGAGAGTCCTTTTGCTTATGGTGCACTTTGCTTTATGGTAAAGTCAGTAAACAAAAGTACAACTGAAAATCTCGGGAAAGAGTCTAGCTTGAAGACAAAGTAGTCTTTCTTTTACAGGACTATTCAACACTAAAAGCATTGTCTTAAGAGAAATGTTAACTGAAGGATTGTTTTACTGTTTATTATCCTACATTGAAAAATGTGCTATATATATATATACATATATATATATATGACAAAGAAATAAAAACTGTCTCTTACATATATTAGAAAAGAACTTCCAAATTTAAGAACAGCTTTCATTTTCACAAGTTTCTCAATCACCTATAGCTAGAGGAGGAAAAGGAAATAAAAGAGTCACAAAATTGAATATTCTCTAAAAAAACAGAAGAATATAATGTGGCGAAAGTCTCACCAGTCCATGACTGCATCAATATGTTGGTAGCTATTTGAAGCCAGTCTTCAAGTATTTTGTTTATAAAAATTCTAAGATTTTGTATACTGCATATTAGGGCAAAATGTACAGAAATACACTTAAATTTCTTGATCATAGTTGCAGCTTTCTTTGTGAAAGCCTATAGAATTAGTTCCATACAATATTGGATATTACTATTTCCTTTTTTTTTTTTTTGCTTTATTGGTACATTTTAGGTATACAATACAGTTTACATTCATCATTGGGATCTTGCACCTTTACATGATGTATCTTGATTCTTATTTTTCCCCATTCCCCTAGCCTACCTTCACCCCCTCCACCCTTCCCTATTTACCAAGACTTTGTTTCCATTTTTTTCCTTTTCTCTTATTTTTTCTTTTCCCTCTTTACCTTTCCCTTACCCCTCCCACGCTGTAATTAATTTTTTTCTATACACTATATCAAATCCTATATCAGTAAGTTTTCGTGCTCTTAATGATTTACCTGTTAAATTCATATGATTATTATAAAAGCAATTATTGCTATCCAGTCAAAAAATTATGTATTTTGGGAGAGTACTGTTGTCCTATAAATTCCACATTGGTTTGCTTGACTATTGAAAATCTCACACAGAATTCTTTCCATTTGTCAGCAAATAACCAACAAAATTATTTGCATTCACTTAAAGCAATAACTTTATGAATGCCCACTTTACATCCCAGATCAATTTAACCAAGCCTACAGAAATGAAATTTGTTTTGTTATAAAAAATTCCCCACATTTTCTGTTTTTTTCCAATGCATAGATTCAATCTAGGTCAACTACTTTTAAAGCAAGAGTTGATTTCATCCAGTTAAACACTAAAACTTTTCTTAAAGGAAGTTATTTATGTTAGGAATAATAGACAATGAATATGGAAAAGGGTTTGAAAGTATTATTGATAGAAAATACTATTCAGGCACCAGTGTGTTATCATGTTATATTGTATAAGAAGTACATATATAAGGACATTCAATTCGTGCTAAAATAATAATTCATTGATTAGCCATACCCCTTAGCTGGGAATATTACAGTATAAATTGAAATCAACAAGATTAAAATTGTGAACTTCTAACTTCCTGAATCCTGCTGCCAAAAGATTAGTAGTCCACACATCATGATGGCCTTATATGTTGACATCTAGGATGTGTTATTCAGGATTGGTCTAATTGTACCAGGAAGGGTGTGTGGCAGCTATTTGATTTTTTATCTCATATTTAGTTATGAAGTATATTAAAATTTCAGAAATAATGCTAATCAAATTCTGCTTGTAACATGTCATCTAGCATTCATTAATATAATGAGAGTGTTTGGGATAGATCCCAAAATCAAAACATGTCTAGAATTGAAACCCTGTACTATTTAAGGGGTTGGGGGAGAGGTCTAGCATTGCTGTGGCTGTACTGCCCTCTGGTGGCAAAAGCGGTTGTTTACACAGAAGTTCTCTGTCTTTCAGATCAGTATTTTCATGACCCATTTGTCCAACTATGGGAACGACCGACTGGGATTATATACATTTGTTAATCTGGCCAACTTTGTACAGACCTGGACCAACCTGCGTCTTAAGACTCTGCCTCCAGTGCAACTAGCTCAAAAGTATTTTGAGCTGTTTCCTGATCAGAAAGATCCTCTCTGGCAGGTAAAGGTGGTTTAATAATTGATACAACTAATTAATCCCAGAGACATATTTTATAGTTCTGTAAGGTAATCCAACTCTGAAATCTGAAGGCATTTGAAAAAAACTGCATTTAGCTTTTAGTTCCTGAATTGTAGTCTTACATTATTACGACAGTTTGAGCCAAATTCTCTCTTCCTTTGACAGTTAAAAATAAAGAATTTTCAGGGAGAGATTCAGTAAATGTAATGTTTTCAATCAGAAGTGAGACACAGATTTGAAGATTGCAATAGGTTGAAAGGCAGAAAGTGGTAAGTGGGTTGTGTATAAGCAATGAGCAAACTGGTTAGCTTTGAACACATCAGCCATTTCTAATGACTGAACCATATGAGAGGGTCTCTGACAAGAGCTGAAGACTGACATCGGCCTTCTGAACCATCGTGTATATCAGCAGTCACAGAATGTGAGTTACATTCACAAATATTAGTTGGGAATTACTTCAGATATGAAGGAATTGTTTATAAATAAGTTATTGAGATTCTAAAGCGAAAATATAACATTAATATGTCATATTTCCACTGCTCTAGGGATAACCTGCATTTCAAAGCATAGACTCATGTATTATAGAATTGTTGAGAATACTTTAAACTAAAATTGCCTACTTGATGATCTATGGAAACTAATTTTAGCAAATAATTATAAAGTACTTAACTATGTATCATGCTAAGCACTTGATTACTCCTCACAAATACCCTGTGTGGTAGGTATAGTTACCATGCTCATTTTACAGATGAAGATACTAAGGCACAGAAAGTCTCACAGCTACCTGTTACAGAGCAGGAACCAGTTCTAGGCTGTCTGGGCCTCAATGGCTGTGCTCTTAATTACTGTTCTAAGTGGCAAAAGAGCAACAATATTTAGAAATAAAACAGTAAATTTCACAAATTGATGTTAAATTTTGAACTCTATATTCAATCCATTCAGCTTTGAACTGTGACCTTAGGAACAAACAGATCTTCCAAGAAGAGACTCAACATGTGTTTAGCAGGTTAAAGTTGAGGGTTTATGTCAGGATATTATTTTCCAGTTGTTGTAACAAGCATCTTAACTACTACTAAATATCACCAAATGTTAGCAACTGGAAAGGCATGTCATTTTTCTGGTAATTTAACACAGTATTTTAAAATTGAAATCACTATTATTTCACGTGACAAGCTTAACACAATTTTTTTTCAGAAAAGCAGCCAAAAAGACTACTTTCACTTTACTCTTAACTAAAAATAAGCAGTTTATTTAACTTCACATACTATGGTATTAATTGAATAGAAATAATAAGTGGTCCTGTGTGCTCATTCCTAAAATAATATTAAAGAATACCACAATTCTTTCCATTTTTCTCCATAATGTATACTTTGTGTTTAAAATGAAGATATATATGTGTGTGTGTGTGTGTGTGTATATGTATAGATGTATATCATATATAGGGTTGTTGGTTTTAAGTATTATAGACCAAAAACAGAATCCCTAAAGTAGTAATTCACCTCATTTTACCCTTTTGCTTAAATTTAATACTTTTTAGCATCATAGTCTTTAATGTTACCCTTTGTGATATACATTTATGACCTTTGAAGGCAGCTGAAAGGAATCAGCTGTCTTTAAATAGCATTAATATGGCTAGATCCCTATCCCTCGGAAGTACAGTAGTTCAAAGTTACTTAGAAAAAATACATACTTCGCTTATTTATTAAATATTAAAAGAACATCTCCTTTTGAGTTATCAGGAAGTATATCTCTACTCAGCAAGCACACTATTAAAAATATTAAAATACAAACTGCCAATAACAAAAATATTAAGCTTTCCATACTATGAGGCTGTTTGCCCAAAGTAAAAATACCTCCTTTTTCCCACCTCCTCAGTCTTAACTTTAGGGAAGAAAGATTATTCTAAATCTTCTGTGATCCACTTAAGGCCTTTCAATTATTTTTTAAAGAACCTTGTTATTTGTTTCATTGTTTCCTGAGATAACTTATAAGGACAAATGTTGGAGATACTAGTACACAATGCACACACTCACAAGAAAAAATACATCTCTGTATTTTTCTCCAATTTTTAGAATCCATGTGATGACAAACGCCACAGAGACATTTGGTCTAAAGAAAAAACCTGTGACCGCTTACCAAAATTCTTGGTAATAGGACCGCAGAAAACTGGTGAGAACTTTTAATGTTATGATTAAGAATACAGTGTAAAAATACAAATGACTAGACAATAATTGCCACAGTGAGTTCTTCAATTTCCTACAAAGTATAATGAATACTCTATAAATACATAAAGTGTCATCCTCTGCTGTGATCTTTAAGGTCTTTAAAAGGTCTTTGATAAGGTCTTTCAGTGTTTTGTCAAAGTGTTTTTATAAAGTGAAAAGCATGAGATTGATGTCACATAGTTTGATACCCAGTTGGTAGCACATGTTATTCTTTTCCAAAGATCTTTCTTGAAAAGTTTCTTAACATTTCCAAAACCAAAACTAGTCACATATTTAGAAAGTGACTAATGGGATTTTGTCAAAAGTCAAGAGGGACACATACAAATAAATAGAACTCTATAATAAATACCTTCCAGAAAAAAAATAGTCTCTTACCCTGCCATCTTCCTCATATAGCTGATTTGTAAACTATTTCTTTCAGAGATAAGTACTTTTTAACAGTCTAAAAGATATTTGACAAGCAGAATTTCTTGCCATAAACAAAACTTTCTGCTAAGAAGGATCTTTATGCATACCCAGGAGAAATCTACTGCACCTTTTCTTAAATTGGTGTGCAATTTTTTCCCCATAAACTTCTTGTTTCTGTGAGAATCAGTATTAAAATGAAGCCCAGTGGAAGACATTCAAGCTGTATCCTGCATGATAAATTATTTGGATCCCTGGGATTCTGGCTTCACAGAAAACAGCCATTTCAACTAAATTTCTTGCCAAGGGGAATACATTTCCTCTCCTCATCTCTCTGGAAATAACTGAGGGGAATTCTATTCGGGGTACACAGACTCTACCCTATTCATTTCCTCTTAGTCCCATTTGTAAATATTAATCTGTAAACAATAAATATGACAAATACTTTCCCGTTCTTATTTATTTCACTTATCTTTATCTATCTAAAGCCACAAGGCAACTAGGAAAACATTGAAGCTGAAGTTTCTTCAATGAACTCCCAATGCCATCCCATAACCTTGTCATTACTGATTACATCTTCTGTCTGACTCTTGGCATACCAAGTTGCTTCAGAAAGCCCTGCAGCATATGCTTTGTCTCATGCCATGCTGGATATACAGATATTTTAATATCATGGTTAGATAGCAAAATTATTACTTGTCACCCTAAACTCAATAGAGTTCCCAATGTTTATGTTACTATTTGGAAATGACATTTCCTTTTGGAAAAAGTAATGGAAAATGCTTTTTTATAGAAATGTATTTTCCCAGTCTTTACAGGCAATAAAATTCACTCATTTTAAATGTAAGATTTGATGAATTCTGGAAATTGTACATTGTCACATAACCACCATCACCACATTTAAAACAGGACAAGTGTGTTCAAAAAAGTTTCTCTCCCTTTTGCAGTCAATTTCCCAATCCTGCCACATGGCACATTTTCTATGAGTGTGGTTTTTACCTTTTCTAGACATTCATGTAAAAAGAAGACAGTGCATAGTCATTTACGTTTAACTTCTTTCATTTAGCATGATACTTTTGAGATTCATCCATCTTGCACTTATCAATATTTTATGAAACTGATTTTTAATTGGACAAAAATATCTTCCCAAATCAATTCCATGAGAAACTTTAGCTTTTCAAAAGTATTTTCCTGGATAATTTTGCATATATTTTTAGTGCACAAGATATTTAGACATTTTTCATTGTTGAAAATGAGAAAAAATATAAAATCTGAATTTTTACAGGTGGTTATTTAAATGTCTGTGATTATGTAATTGATTTAATCCCTGACAAAATATACATATTCATACACACACGTGCATGACAAGTTATTCACAGCAAAGGATATACATAAAGATAGAACTCAAAAAATCACAATGTTATCTTTTCACAACCAGTAAATTACATCATGCCTTTTACTATCTAAGCAAAGTAACAGGTGATATCTAATTCTTCTGTTTGTTGTATTAATTCTAGTCATAAAGGCTATTAAAAACAATATGTTTAATATAATTCCTAGAATTAAATTTCAGAAAATAAATATATGTACTATATATATCATCATAAATACTTATTGGTTACAGTTTACATAGAACGCATTCTTTTTCTGAATTGTATCTCAATCAATTACATAAATGCTATATAAATGTCCTTAACATAATTCTTTATTATAATTATAAATTCAGTCTCGTGTTAGCTTTAAAAGTACCTCACAAATAGTTAGAAATGGTACTAGTACTTCCAGATAGATTATCTCATTTAACCCTTATAAAAACTCTGATAGCTAAGTATTTCTTCCCAATACACAGATGAGAAAACTAAGACTCAGAGTTAAATAATTTTCATTCAGGTTCACATAGCTGGTAAGTACTGGAAATGAAACTCTTGATCCTAAGATTTATCTGACTCCAAAGAATATGCTCTTTTCACCTTACTGTGGACCACAAGTAATGGAAAAAATTTCCCCAACAAGTTTGAGATATTTTTCACATTTCTTTTAATACAGTGATTTAAAAGTCATCATACCAAGAGCATAAGCACCACCAGAGAACTTTTTAGGAGCACTAATTATTGAGCCACTCCATAGATGTGTTGAATCAGAAATTCTGGGACAAGGCTCTGCTATTTGTTTGAACAAACTGTCTAGGTGAATGTGACATTTGTTAAAATTTGAGCATCACTGTTCTAAGTCAAGCATGTGAAGAACATTTTCACTTTGCATATCACAGAGTACTATGCTTCCGTCCCTATAGTTTTATGATTGTAAATAAAGTATGGCTCATTTGGCTCAGCTATAACCTAGAAACACTCTTTCAGTTCATTTTTTAAACAATATTACTGTGCACAGTTACGTACCTTAAATTTTTTTCCTATTGTATAGGTATGGTACACTTAAGTAACAGTATTAGAGAAAGCTTAACAAGAGATAAGAAAACTCAAAATGTTGTGAAATGACCACAACACATTGTCACTAAGCAAAATTAGAACAATAATTCTTTTAAGTGAGATCAATATTACAATGCCATGTTGGATTTCTTTTGCTATCAACCTGGATTAAAAGAGTTTGTTCCATCATACAGTCTAATATGCCAATCACATTAGAGTTGGAAAGTAGAAACTAGGAGTACTGAGCACATACAACAGAAGTGTTTCTATATTATGGTCTTATTTACACAGCCACAGTTTCAAATACATGATTAAATCTTTGACATACTGAACCCAAAGTGCGTAACTTTCTTCTACCTGACTAAGCTGCTCACTTTCCCTCCTAATGAGAGCCAAAAAACACGAGTGATATGCAGTTCTTTTTCCAATAAAATGCTAATTTTATAAGATATATCATTGAGAAAGGACACTACTTTTCTTCAACTTCAGCAATTTAAATAGTTTCACACTACTCTTTATAAGTATGTAAGCATGCTCAAATTTAGGCACACTTCTTAAAAGATTAAATTCTGTCTTGATTTTCATTAGTTTTCATACGCCTCAGAAAGAATTTTATATAAAAGCTCAATTTTCAGTTTTGGTAATATGATATATTAAAATGATATATTTTATTTATATTGTGGTTTACTAATATCATAAAATCTTATATTTTATTTTCTCATCCTTGGAGAAAAATGTATGAAATAAGCAGTTAAGAAGACTGAGACAAAGAGAAGCTAAAAGCCAAAGTTGCAGAACAAGTCAATGAATGATCTAAAATCAAAAGCTATTTCTCCCAGTCCCTGCCACAAGTCCTTTCTCACACAGTCTATCCCCAATTTTTAGAAATTGTTTTTAGATGTCTGTTTTCAATTCAGTTTAAATCAAGCAGTATCAATAATGAATCTGCTTGGATCATTTTAATATTTAATTTATTAATGAGTTTGAAATGCTAACTGTAGGAAACTCTTTTCATTTTATTAATTTCTAAACCTGTATTGTTTTTCAGGTACCACTGCTTTGTATTTGTTCCTGGTTATGCATCCTTCCATCCTTAGTAACTCCCCCAGCCCAAAAACCTTTGAGGAGGTACAGTTCTTTAATAGAAATAACTACCACAGGGGGATTGATTGGTAAGATGGGTTATTAGTATAAATCTAAAAGTATATTCACTGTGCACAATATAAACTGAGTACTAATACTGAGAAACAAGTTTGTAACAACAAATAAAGGTTACCCTTTTGTATCTTGGAAACTGAATAACGTGAAAGAGCTAAGAAATTATTCATACATTGAAAAGCCCAATTTTATACATACATTCATACATTTAAACCCTTGTCTATGAAGGGACTTTTGCCTTTGATTGTAATTACAGATGTGAATTCAAAAAAATAATACCTATACATTTCATTCCTCTCTATTCTTAACACTTTTGTTATCTTCCTCTTACTTTTCATTAGGTGATGCTATGGTCTACATATGTAGTTTTCTGTCTTACAGGGTATAAAAGGAAAAAAAATAATGGAACTAGAAATGTGCATATATTTCATGAGAAGTTGAAGCTGTTATAAAGCTATCAAAATATATAACTTTAATATTTGCCTTTGAATTAAAATTAAAAATATATTAAGCATTTGAAGGAAATAGTTAAAAAGGAAAAATGTTAATATATATACAAAGTACAATAATATAATAGAAATGAATAATAAAAGTTGACATGTTAACTAAAAAATGTATCTAGGGGTCTTGCTATTAAGGTATAATGATGGAAAGAAAGTGGTCTAAAAGAATGAGATTCTGGGCTGGAGATTTAGCTCAGTGGTTTGGTGGCCTGCCTTGCAAGTGGAAAGACCCGAGTTCAATCCCTGGTACCAAAAAAAAAAAAAAAAAATGAGATTCTTACAATAATTCTGGAGCATAAACATAAACATTTTATAATTATTTTATATGAAAAGTCATGTATATTAATCTCTGTTGTCAAATTTCATGATCTCAATTTTATAATTATCAACCACTTCAAGACTGACTAGTCTAAATGTAGTCTAAATGGAAAAATAAATACATGGTTTGAGTATAATTAAGCACCCACAAGACAAGAATTTACATACATTCTAATCATTACATCTTTCACCGTTAATTTTCCTGCACAATATTTGACATGAATTCTGTGGTATTAAATAACAGCAAAAAAAAAAAAAAAGAAAAGAAACCACCACATATTTCAACTGCTACTTGACCAAATATATATGCTGATATGTAGTAGAATGGAGTATTAGCATCAGGACTAAAAGGAGTAATTAAAGACTTCTTGAGGTAGAGGCAAGTACAATATTTGAGTTCCTGGAACTTAAAAATAAATAGAGGAATCATAATTTCATCATAAATTTTATGAAATAAAATATTCTGGATCATAAGCCAGTAATATGTAAGGCACTGTAATAAGCATGAAAAGTTCCTTACAACGAGATGACATAAATAATTATAAATCTAAAGAGCAGTGAAAGACTTTAAATATAACTCACTAAAATTACACCAAATATTGACATTTTCATTAACAAATTCTACACGTATAAAAGACAATGCAAATAACAAATAATTGTAACTGCAAATGTCAATTTACAATAGTAATTAGAGTTTTCCTCTCGATAATATCAACTATAATCATAGTCCTCAGATTGGCCTGGCCTCTGTCTGAAACAGTCCCTCAGCTGTCTTTTTGGATCATGGTTCCACAAAGTTAAAGACTGCATTTAAAAGAATTAATTTTTTAAAGTTAATTCCTGGATCACTTAATCTAGGCATAATTAGTTAACTGAGATGCATGGATCTGGCTTTTTTTTTTTCTTTGAGAATTAGATGAACCTAGGACTGCCTTAACTGAAAAAAGATTTAAAATACAAGCAAAGGAGGACAAATGAGAATTAGAAATCTTCATCTTTGACAAAATTGGCAAGATTTGCCACCAGACAAGATCAGAAAAATGTTTGACTCATGCACATTCATGAAACCTACAGGTTTTAGATTCCATGATTTAGTACTGTAATTTTCATTACATGGGGGTGCAGTGGAGAGTTGGAGCAGTGTGTAGAAAGCTACAAAATCCTATTAGCATTTAGAAACTCTAAAGTTGTAATCTGCCTTTGTGTTAAATCAGTTATCATTCTTAGGGCCAATACAATAACAAGGAAATGGAGAGTATTGCAAAAACCACATCTTTCGGGTGAAAAAAAAATGCTGGCATAATTTAGTGAAGTAACAAGGCTTAAGGGAGACAAATATTCACCAGTAACTTACCTTCAAATAGTTAAACTGACCTAGTTATGTGTGCCAGTACTTTGGATAACCTGAACACATACTCCCCAAGAGTGAGCCCATTTGGAGAACTTCCATATTCTCCTTCTGGAAATATACTTGTTTATTGAGCAAACATTTCCCACATGCCTGTAAGTACCAGCCCCTATTCTAGAAAAATGTGAATCTATTGACAATAACTGGATCTTGCCCTTCTGTGAGTCACTGGAGTTAGGCAAGATCAACACAGTTTAGGTCCAACATCCAGGACAACCTGAGGTGGTTTTCTGAGCCAAAAACTGTTCTACAAACACCTTGGGGAAGGTTGAACAGTTTTAGAAGGTGTAAATTATCTAATCCAATACCTCTGCCACACATGTGTATATCTGTGTGGTTTTTGGAGCCTGTCTCCAAGCTTGAGACAAGTTTTGATCAAGTAGGACATTACTAGACACTAGTGATGACCTTAGCATCACTGAAACCAGTATGAGATTCTAAGTAGAAATAACCTGACATGAGGCACTTTCTGCAAATAGAATGTAGAGCAGAAGAACTAACAGGTCAAGCTCTCCTAAAATTTTTTATATCTCACTGTAAAAGGATGCCAGGATGACATAGCACCAGCAATGTAACTTTCAGAAAACAAAAGGATTTTTTAACTACTCTGAGGCTCAAGATACCACTTTGTTGTACCAGTTACATTTTTTCAATACATAACAACTGGAATCCTACCATAACCTTTATTAAGTAAAATGAAATGATTTCTTGGTTCAAAGTCTGTAAAAGTTTCACGTATCTTTAAGGCAAAGGAACCAACAAGTCACAAGAGAAACCATCACCTGGATGTTTATGACTGTTATTCAGTGATTAGTCAACCACTTCACATTAATTGCCCAAAGTCATGGTGGCTTATAATGTGAAGGGGGTTGGAAAGTGAGATGATTATTATAAAACGTGAAAAATCTTTAGAAATTAAATTGTCTCTCTTAAAAAGCCCTTTTCCTCTAAAAGGTTTCTCTTAGAGCTTCAGAAATGCATATTATCTTATCACATGCTGACTTAGTGATATTTGATAAAGTTATACTGGTGGTGTATTAAACATTGCTAGAGTCTACATGTATCCCTTTTTCTATGCTGCTCGTGGCTTGAATTCTAACAACACTTAAAGATATAAGACCTGACCTTGAGAATTTTAATAGGATTTCATATTTATAATATGTGCGCACTTTTAAAACTTTTCTTATAATTATTCTAAAAAGAGACATAAATGACTCTATTTGTAAAACTTAAGCAAATACTCAGTATTTGCTGTGGATATGCACCACAAATGCCTTGAAACTATATGATTAAAAATAACAGGACAACAGTGGTAGTGAAATTATTTTTACTGTGATAAAGTAAAAAAGTGTTTTGTCTGGACCCTTTTAAATTGTTTTTTAACTGAATGTATCATCTGTTTTGATCAAATTTTCTTTTTGTTTGGGTACTTATATTCTTCTCTGTAGAGTTTTTCTACATTTAAATATATTTTTATAGTAAGGTTGATCATTTTGTCTACATTTTTGTAGATCTTTTTATCTAATGCTAAGCAAAACAAAATATATTCAGAAGTACATTTTCAAAATGCACTTTTAGTGTGTTGGACATGTTTCCTTTGCTAACTATGTTTGGTTTTGTATTGTTTGTTTGTTTATTTGTTTGAGACAGGTCTTGCTATGCAGTTTGGTCTGGCCTTGAATATGCTATGTAGCTGAGGCTGGCCTTAATCTGATAGCAATCCTCCTGCCTCAGCCTCTTGAGTGCTGATTACAGGCATGCACCACGACACCTGGCTCCTTTGCTAACTATGGAGGACAAATGCCTTACAGAAAAATATTTTTGTTTAGAAAACTAATATGTGGGATATCTCTAACATCTTCAGTCATCAGGATATGAGTGTAAACCAAGATCTTATTTTGGGAAAAATATTCCTTTTCTAGGTACATGGATTTCTTTCCAGTTCCATCTAATGTCACCACTGACTTTCTGTTTGAGAAGAGTGCAAATTACTTTCACTCAGAGGAAGCTCCTAAAAGAGCTGCTTCCCTTGTCCCCAAAGCCAAGATCATCACCATTCTCATTGACCCATCAGACCGAGCATATTCCTGGTATCAGGTAAGGAAAAGGTAGAATCCAGCAGGGAGAGAAGGGGTATTGATAATGAAGGATGATAGTTAGCAGTAGCCATAATCTCAAACTTAGCAAAAGAGATTACTAAGTGTTTGATATTTATAGAAAAGTAGATAAATATTTGTTTCCCTGAAAAAAAAAAAAACTTTCTCCTTTGCTTTTAATGTTTTACTAATTTAATCTATTTAATAAAATACATTAATGTTAAATTCAAAATATAAGAAGTGAAATATTGTGTATGTGATTATATACATCTCCATTTAAAAAGTAAATGATACATTTTTAAATTATTATCTTTCAACTAATACACATGCATTTTGTATAGGGTTAGATAGCAAGTTTTCAGGTTTTTCAGATTACAAGTTCTGTTATAATTCTGCCATTATATTTTGAAAGCAAACAAAGATAATGTGTAAATGAATAAGCATGACTATGTTCCAAAGAAAGTTTATTTATAAAAGCTGGCTGTAGGCCATAGATTGCTTAGCCAAACTCTAAAAGAGGTTGAATAATTGCTTGTCTTAAAGAAGCAACTTAGTCACAAAGCACATACAAGAATGCTTCATCTCTGAAAGCCCAACCTCTCTAAAGCTGTTCTAAGCCTTTCCCATATACTCATTTGTCATGATGTTTCTGACACTGGCTAGAGCCTAGCACGAAAATGATGACTTTGAAATAATTGAGCACTCCAATCAGAAGACATTTATCAAATATATGTAATTTAATAAATTATTTAAAATAACAGGGAAAATAACAGTCCCAGTGATATTTAGATCATCAAATAGAAAGGTTAAATAAAAAGCAGCCAAAATTAAACATAAGAACATATAAAACACAGTCAAGGCCTCTAGTCTCTAGTATCCTTAGTTGTCATAGCTCAGATTTAGAGTTTTAAAAAATACTTTCCTAATATTCCTATATTCATCTAGTCATCAAATACTGTTAAGACTAACATGTATAGAGTCTTACTCTAAAAGTAATTTGAAGCCATTTTAATAAATATGGATGGCATAGTTAAGATTGGTTTTGGTTATTTGAATAATATACATATATACAAGCTTATAAACTAGAAAATAATAATGATGGACAGACAGGCTAATTTGGTGATAAAGCCTATCCTAAAGACTTACTGGTATGTTAGATTTATTAACTGGCTGCTATTAGAGGAATCTGAATACCAGAAGAAACTCTGTGCCTTTCCTAAAGAAAAGATGACATTTGTAAGAGGAGAAACTGAGATAAAGTTAAAATGGAGTGTTTTAATGCATGCAAATAAGAGAACTACATATAGAGTCTGTCAACATTTCAGGTCTGAAAAGCAGACTAAAGTTCTAATTTCCTTGGAAACCATGAAGTTCAGATGAATGTGGAATAGTCTCCTTATCTGGAATTCTGCTAGCGGCTGAATATAAAGCTAACTGCCTGTATTCTAAGTGACTCAGATAACTCAGATCCTCCTGGACTTGAAGCCACTAAGTATTAACAATCATGACATTAGAGTGTACAGTTTCTTAGCACCAAGCCCCCCACCCTTTTTCCATTTAATAAAAGCAGTGTTTTTGCAGGTTCACAGTGGAAGAACATTATCAGGAAAGGTTTTTGTGGCAGGGACAGAGTGGGAAAATATCATACAAAGCATATGAAATCCTAGATAAGCATACTGATAACAACCTGCATAATAGCATTGCAAATATCCTAAAAATCTGTGAAAATCCACAAGTGCACACTCATCATTCATGTCACACCTAGAATTATCTATCTTAAAATCCAAATATAGAGCACACCGCAAATTGACAAATTTGCCTTTTCCAGGTATCTAGAGAAAAGAGAAATGAACCCTGGCTGACTCAGAAAGAAAAAGAAAATTGGAGCTTGGCAACCACTTAGTCCTAAAAAAAAAATTGGGAATTTACAGAAAAAAAGAGGTTTCACGGCTGCAAACTAACAAAACATCCTAAATATTGCAAATAAATCACTCCACAGTGGTAAAATTCAGGCCTTAACAAAGTCTAGTAGATTTTGTAGTATAGTAATTTGAATCCAAATTGCAGCAAATATGCTATTCAACTAGATGTGGTAAACAGCCACAAACTCACCATTAAGCCTGAATATGTATTGGTCAATTTAAGGAAAAGGTGATTTTCTCAAAACCATGGGCCTGTGCCTAAGCCATTATGAAACACTTTCATTTTGGACTGCTACTTTCCGTATTTTCTGAACAATAAATGATTCTGATTCATCACAAAGGTTACCATTAGATAAAATAATCTTGGCTTTTAGATGCTGGATAATATATGATAAGAGCTGTGGATTTCAGATAATGTACATGTCAGAGTTTTCAGTAGTTTCTCCATTTAAAATAGCCAATAGAGTTTTTCTAATCTAAAACTACATTACTAGATGGAGCAAAACTATTTGGCAGAACTAGTATAGTACTTGTGTATTATGGATATTCACTGAGCATGATAAATGATTTGCTTTTGGGCTGAAAAGGAGACATGAATGTAACTCTGAAAAGTTTGCTTTCAGAATAAAATATATATATACCAAGGAAGTAACTCAGTAAAGTAAGGAATCCTAATAAGAATTTTGCCTCTGCCAAATAAATTCTCAAAAAATATATTCTTATCAGTGTCATAACTTTAAATTTTGATGCTCCAAGCAAACATTTTCATCCTTTATTAATTTCAAAACAATTAATTCTCCAGCAGTGAAACACCCTTTTCTTTAGCTTGAAGACTTGTCACAAAGATTAGTTTTTTAATTATTTATGCCTATGGTTCAGGTTAGATTAATAATCCACCTTTTCATCATAGCATCAGCGATCACATGAAGACCCTGCAGCTCTGAAGTTTAGCTTCTATGAAGTCATCTCTGCCAGGCCCCATGCACCCTCAGAACTCAGAACCTTGCAAAAGAGATGTTTGGTTCCCGGGTGGTATGCCAGTCACATCGAGAGATGGCTTGTTTATTTTCCCCCTTTTCAGGTATGGAGCAATAAAGTGTAGATCCTGTAACAATCTCATTAAGTTGATGATTTTGCCTCCAGGATAGAGGAAATGTTTACTCACTAAAACATTACTAGCTTTTACTCGTTCAGTGAAAATAGTGAAACTATTTGAAAGAAAAACAAGCAGAGGCCGAAAAACAGTTTAATATTCGAGGAGTATTTCAAGATAATTTTCTCAGCTCCACTTTCTAGTGCATGCCTTTCCTGATCTTAAGGAGTTTCAAAAGCTTCAGATCTTTGATTCTTACTCTAACATGAGTAAAGCTTGAAAGGAAGGTTCTTCACTGAACAAGACAAATATTGTTTTGCTTAATTAAGTGCCATTATTTCCTTTCGGAATTACCTTGATGAATTTTTCATGAGTCCTGCATTTTTCTCAGATTTCTTTCTTATACCTTTCTTTAGCTTAGTATCAACTTAGATTACAAAACCAACTCCTACATTGAATTGCATAAAAATCCAGATATAGCATATATTTGTGTATGTAAAATCATACTGTCCAGTGTGATAGCTGGCTAATTAAGTTTATATTCAAATTAAGTGAAATTTAAAATTCAGTTCCTTATTTGCATTTGGCACATTTCAAATACTCAATAGGTATACATACATACATACATACATACATATATATATATATATATATATATATATATATATATATAACACA